ATTGCCTGTACAACAATTTTGTTTATGTCCAAGTCTTTTTGATTCCTAAGTTGATTCTCAACTTTTTTGATTGAAAAAGGCTTATAACAACCTTAATTGGTCCTCGGAACCCGTTGATGTAAACCATCAAAATCGATTAATGGAGAAAAATTTCTCTTTGTTTGCATATTTCATCGACAAGCATAAGTATATCTTCAATATTTGAACATCTTTTGAACATCTTTTTGAACCACTGTATGTTGCTCCTCTGTATAAAATCTTGTTGAAATGGTTACTGATGTATGCAATAAAAGTGATGCAGGTAATGCGGCTTTCTGTTTGCATCAATCTCTTCATTACTTTTAAATCCTGATTGACCAACATCATTTTTTATGTCATTCAATATGTTTTTTATTACACATTCAATAGCAGATCATGATATTAAACTAATCTATTATGGAGATAAATATATTGGAGACTTTCTCGAATATGCACATGTAATGATTTGAAATAACATTTTTCCATACCATGTTCCCCTTCATCAAAATCAAAAATAATTTTGTCAATTTTTTATTTGTTTTCGAATTCTTGATTAATAGAAGCTCTATAAAAAGCTCTAAAAAATTTTAGAAGAAATTTTAATTTAATTTAGTCAACTAACTTTTTAGTTCGACTAAAATAAGATCTATTTTAAAAAACACTACAAGTCTTATATTTGTATATTTTGATCATATCATAGTAACTTATGCTCCCAATATCAAATCATAATTCAATCTCACAATAACTTTACATTATCTTAAAATAAATCCACCCTACGGAGAGTTTGTTGTAACCAAATAGTATAACATCTTATTAAATTCCAAAGTAATATGCCCTAGTGTGTGCTGTTTTAATGTTATAAGATTTGTAGTGTACATTTACATCAACAATCTCCATAAAGCCTCAAATTTAATGACGATTATGGTTGCAGATGACACGAACTTATTTTTATCTCATAATGATATTACATTGTTATTTCAGAATATCAATAATGAACTAGTAAGAATTTCTGATTGGTTTAAGACAAATAAACTGTCTCTTAATATTGATAAAACGAAATGGATTTTTTTCCATCCAAATCACAAAAAAAATCTTATACCAAATGAAATGCCACTGCTTTTTATTGATAATATACTTCTAAAAAAAGTAACAGTTACAAACTTTCTTGGTATTTATATTGATGAAAATTTGTCATGGAAAAGTCACATAAAAAAATTGAGTAGTAAAATATCAAAAAGCATAGGAATTTTGTACAAAGCAAGGTGTTTTTTAAATAAACATACATTACTTAAACTATATTATTCGCTCATTCATTGTCACATTAACAATGCGAACATTGCGTGGGGTAGTACTAATAAAAGTAAACTGGAACCTCTTTATCGTCAACAGAAACATGTTGCACGCCTTATTAATTTTAAGGATCGATTTACTCATGCCAAGCCTATATTAATTGAAATGAAAGTCTTAAATATATATGAGCTTAATATTTTTAACGTTATATGTTTTATGTTTAAATGTAAAAACAATATTTCTCCTGTACCTTTTCATAATTTGTATAACAAAAAAGAAAAAACTAAGTACATTTTACGAAATGATAATAATATTCGTCAATCAGCTTATCAAACTAATTCTGGAAAATACTGTATTTCATTTCGAGGAGCATTACTTTGGAATAAAATAGTTTTAAAGAATTTTGACTTTTCTCAAGAAGTTAGCTATCACTCTCTCAAACAAAAACTTAAAAAAGTCATTTTTTTATTAGATGATATATCTGTATTCTTTTAATTTTTTGTTTCTTTTTTTAACTTTATATTTAACACTGCATTAATAAATTTTATAATTTAACAATTTGTAAATAGTTGTTTAACACTTTTGTTAAAGGTATCTTAAAACTGTATAACAAAACCTTTAACAAAAAGTTTAACAATTGTGCTAAAGATATCTTAAAACTGTATAACGCATCTATGTATTTATAACGGAACCGTTTTTCTTTTTCTTTTTTTCTTTAAATTTGTTCATGTTTTCAATTCTTAATTCTTAATTATTTGTTATCTTCAAGTATGTTAAGTATATATTCCTATTGATAAGTTTATTTATTTTGAGAATATTTTATTAATACGAAATATTAACACGAAAATTTTTTAGCGGTTCTCGACGACAAGACCTTACGGTCTTCTACGAGTTCCCGCGTTCTTTTATTTCTTAATAACGATCATGTATATATATATATATACATTGTTAACGAATATTTATTAAATCACAAAGTTGTAAAATTAAAGAACAAAAAAACAAAAACAAAAAAAAATGATATTTCAAATATTAATCCTGTTTTTCATCCCTAATAATTATTTTTAGAATATTTGATGTTACCTGTCCAGATAATTTACGATCTTTTGACATCATAATTTTCTCTATGTTTTTAGCAGTTGGTTTTCTATTTAAGTGGTATCTAATACTTCTTTCTATTTATTTTAAAAAATATTATCACAATGACGCATTAGTATAAGAACTTGAATTTGAAATACTTTCATTTTTCTGAAAAAAAATTCTTTAAAATAAACTTATCATTAAAAGATCAACTTTTAAGGCACTTTTTGTTTTTTTTCAGATATGATGAATTCCATAGTGCAAAATATTTATCAAGTAAAAATAAGTATTTTAATCTCATTATTAATAAATTTATTTTGTCTTCTTTGGCTTGAATCCTAGTAATAATGTATTTAAACCCACTATCTACATTATTAAAAGTATTTTTCGAAACCTGAAGGCATTGCATAAATTGTCTTAAATTGATTTCCTCCGTTATCTTAGTTGACAACAATAACTTACAAAGTAAAAAAAAAACTTTTTAACAACATTTAGAAGTTCACGTGGTTTTTGGATCGATTAGTGGGACATCAAAAATGCACTTTGAATTATTTGGAACAATTTTTTAGTTCTTCATCAAGTTAAAATTTAGTACTTTTGTGATGATTTTTTACTTTCAATGCTAAAATTGAAGTACCATCTTTTTCAGGAAATTTTTTATTTTTAATAGTTTATATTATAACCTTTCCAATGATGTATATATTTCAATTTTTCAATAATCTATGTATTAAAAAAATAATAATTACTAAAACCCAGCATCTTAAGAATTTTTATCAAAAATTCTATAAAACTTTAAGAAGCTCCTTCCATTTAGCCTGTCACATTTAGAATTTCATAAATTAGAAAATTCTTAGTGAGGGTGAAACAAAACCCATTGTCGACATATTGTTTGATATCGGTATTTTTTTTATTTTTTTATTTAGGTACCCCAAGAAGTCCTCACGGTCTTATCACAGAGCACCGCGGATGAGCATTTAACAGGAAGTTCACGCCTCCTTCCTAACTGATGCCGCAAAACCTGTCCATAGGTGGGGTTTGAATCACGGATCCTTTGTTTCTGAAGCGAGTGCGCTACCACTGCGCCACGGCTGCTCATTATTATATACATTATTGTATACTTTTTAGATTTTTAGTTTAAATTATATTAAATTGAATGCCAAAAAGACTTAATTTTTGATTTCAGGTAAAGCACAAATACAAAGCTATACGATAATCATTTCTGGGATTCAAAAAAATCTTCAGAAGAAACTTAACTGCCTGGGGTTCACATAGGATACTAAATATTCAATTGTTGCATCGCTCAGTTGTTCTAACGCGGATGAAAAAATCTCAATTCTAAAGCCTTTGCTCAAACTTATTCCGTTTGCCTACTCGAGTTCCGTTTCCTATATATATAAATCGTTAGCAGTACTGACTTACGGTATAAAGCTATGTAAGAATAGTGACGCATTAATAAAAAAGTTAGATAGAATTAGAAGAAGCGCGCTGAAATCTCTTTTGAATGTTTCGAAACACAGTGAGAACTATACGAATTCTCTATTTAAAATCCAGGAAATTTCAAACAGCATCAAACAAAATAAATTAAACTTGTTTTTTCGTCTTCTTAAGAATAAATCAACTGCAGAAATTAATTTTTCACAACTGAATAACCCTTTAATTCAAGATTTTTTTACAACACTCTTTTACCAATATCCAAGAACTATGCGCGATTTGACGTTAAATTTTAATATTTTAATACAAAACAAAAAGAAGATGAAAATAACACATTTCAAGAGTAAAATTCCCCTAGAAATTAAAAAAACTTTAAAATTTGCAATAGAACTGGAATGCAAAAGACCAAAGCGACATTTTAAAATAAATTCTTGAATTAAGAACTAATAAGTGAAAATCACTTAAAAGAAATTTCTACTCTATGTAAATATTATTACATTTGGTGTTAATAAATTTAGATAATAATAATCAATCAATACACACGTTACAAAATAAAAGTGAAATTAACTATAACAAAATTTAAATAACTTTTTAAACAATAAACGTTTATAAACATGTAATATATAAAACAAAGTTAAATTTTGCTATAGGTCCCAGGTGTCATGACATTAAAGCTTTTTATTAATGTACTAAAGAAAATCGTTTGAAAATGAACAAAGCATGTTAATTAGCACTAAAAGTTTATTATTTATATTATATTAATTTTGTAAATCTAATATTTTATTCATATTGCCAACGCAATAATTTTATACAACTATTTTTATAAAAAATATATACTTTTTTAAATTTTATAATAAGAGTTTTTGTTTTTAATTTGTATTTATGCTATATATTATAATATTATATCATGTTAAATAAATTTATGGTTGAATTAAACATAAAATATAAACTTTTTTTTAATATATATTAAGATTTGGTTATGTATTTTACTTATCTATTGTGATTAGCGTCAGCATGTATAATGAAAAAACCGTTTAAAAATAATCTAAAAAATCCCATAAATAAAAAGTAGTCACTAAAACATAACATCTAAAAATCAAATAAATGGCACAATAGCGGCGTCAGTTAAAATTTTGTCAAAAAAAATCCCTACGTTTTTGTTTAAATGTTATTGCCGTCATATCGTTTAATAACTTTTTTTTTTTATAATATTTTTTTAGCTGAATCTTTGCTCTGTTAACTTCGACGGATTCCTTAATTTTTCCGCTTCAATGTTTTGGAATATATAAAAAAGACTAAAGTTTTTAGATGCCAAAGGTACCGCAGCATGTTTTAGAATGTTTGGTAGTTAATGAGCTTGTTTATTTTTTATTTTTACAGGCTTTTAAGATCATCACTTTTTGAATATATATATATATATATATATATATATATATATATATATATATATATATATATATATATATATATATATAATATATATATATATATATATATATATATATATATATATATATATATATATATATATATATATATATATATATATATATATATATATGAATTCTAGGTGTAAAATGAGGGGTAAATCCTTAAAAGCTATCAACTGCTTTCTAAAAAAACAGAAAAATCCTCATAACTAAAAATCTGCCAACTGAAATGTGTCATTTACCAACTATTAACCAATGTATATGTATATATATATATATATATATATATATATATATATATATATATATATATATATATATATATATATATATATATATATATATATATATATATATATATATCCAGTGCCGTGGCAAAAAAAAAAAATCTGTCATTAGGGCCCCATTTTCTTATATATATATATATATATATATATATATATATATATATATATATATATATATATATATATATATATATATATATATATATATATATATATATATATATATACATATATAACAATTTTTACTTTATTGTATTTACATTCCTTTTTTTTTTTCTAACTAGAAACTGTTAGTGAAAATAAAAACACAAAAGATCAAACTTTACATTACGGTGTGGTCGTATCATACATATTAGCAATTATTGGTAATAAGTATAATACGCTAATTATTAGAGACAATCATATTATATTTTCAAATAAAATTTGATTTTTAACAAGATTTATAAATGGGCTGGATCAAATTTTATGAGGACTAAATTATCAAAGTAAATCTATCAAGTAAATCTACTTTTTGTTTTGATTTATATAAAATGTTTTATCATTAAATAGGTACACGTTTTTTTTCTCCAGTTCACACGCGATTCAATACGCACTTGAAACCTTTTATTAAAAAAAAATTGAACAATAAGGTTTAAGAAAAACAACTTTTTCAAGCTCGTGCTGTAGAGATTAAAAGTTACATAGGGCGCCCAAAAGAAATTTGTCTCACCTTCTCACTAGCTCTTTTCTAAAAAAGAAACATTTCGGTAGTTTATACCGTGCATACTATTGGTTTAATTTTTATTTTTAAATTTATGAACACGACGCTTTCCGTTCCTAACGTCTGTGTCATTGAAAACGTTAATCTTCGGTTTAAAAAAGAAACAGTTGTCGACCATTCGTCAGTTTATCGGCTCAAATTTAATCCAATTAAAGCGTTTTCAAAAGTATAAACAGGGAAGAGTTAAAATTCTGGGAGAATTACACGTTGCACGATTTTTACTTTAAATAAAAAGAATATTTATAAATATAAAATGTTAAATTCAACAAGACAAGTTTCACAGATTGATAACTCATAATAATATTGATAACTCGCTATTCTTCTTTTTTCTTCTTCAATAATTTTCTTCCTACTTTTGCTTCATTTTTCACATGAAATTCTTTAGCAATTAAACAGTAACTAACTACAACGTAGAATGCAGTAAATGCAATGCCTTTATAGGAAATTTCGTCTCACATAGCTTATAAGAAATACATGAGTATATATTCTAAAAAAATGTTAGGCCGTAAAAACAGTTTTAAAAAATTAATTTTTTATATAAATTAAAACGAGTTTATAATATCTTGTATATTTGTATAAACTAAATAAGATATGAAAAAATTTACAAAGCTATAATTTTTAACAGCTTATAAAAATTTGCTTAACATCCCCAGTGGGCACGGACGTAAAAAAGACGCCTTTTAAACGTCTTATACACGTTTTGGACGTCTTTTGAACGTCTTTTGAACGTTTTGGACGTCTTTTAAACGTTCAAAACGTTTGGCCTGGTGTCTAATGGATCCAATAAACATATTTTTAACGATTATTATTTAACAGCCTACAAATCAAAATGATCAAGATTATAATGGTCGTACAAGGTACGTAGATAATTACAATATTGTTTCTGATTAAACTTATCAGTTAAAAATTAAAAAAATAGTTGTTTTAATTACAACTTTAAGTTTTTATAAAAAATTAGTGTTTATTGCTCCAAATTTATTTTTTTTTGGTGAGGGGAGTATGCGAGATTGACCATCAATTTAACATTTTATTTAATAACTATATACGTACTTGTAATATAACATATTTACATCAGTGGGATTAAAATATTTTTGATTATTATGCTTTTGGCAAGCGGGAGCTTGGTGTTTAAGGAGGGACTTTGCTTATTTATAGTAAAGAAACGTAATATGTAACATCCACTTTTATTGAAAATATAAATTTGATAAATTTGTTGAAAAACGTCATACAAAAAACATAACGACGGTACGACGTTACTAATATATTAAAATCTTTTAAATATTTTTGAAGTCTATGTGTAAAAGAAAAAAAAAAGAAAAAAAAAGTTATGATTGTTTAAGAACGACAATTATTTAAGAATTTTAATGATGACTATCCTTTTTACACTAAAATGTAATTTTGAAAATACTACGTTGTAGCAACGTTGTTATACTATCATGTGTTATATCATCATAATTACATTATCAAATCTTATTTTTTTAGCACAAAAAGAATAAATGGATAATAATATGACATAAATAGCAGGTTTTAAAAAAAGTTTACTAAAAGCGGAAGGTAATATATAAATACAAGGTTTTACCTTTATTAATTTGTTTTTATTTATCGACATAAGCTTTTCTTAATAACTATATTTGGGAATATTTTTAGAGAGTACGAGAAGTAAAGTACATTAAATAATTTATTTAAGTTTGTTCTCAATAAACAAGGAAAGCCCAGAAGACAAGGTACGGAGTCCGCCATTAATATTTATTTTATATTATTTATTAATATTTATTTTATATTCTCTTATATTATTTACACTATCTATTCACATCATAAATTTTTTTCTACAAAAACATTAAAATAATAGAGAAAAATAAATAAAAACAGCAAAGAAATTTTTAATAATTTGAAATTATTAATTAGATGCATTCAAAAATGAACTTCTTAAAGTTCAAGACGTCAACTTTAACGGCACACGTTTCTTTCACCTTTGAAACGTTAAAAAGTTTGACTTAACAAGCGAACTTTTTCTTCTTTTTACATGTTAATAATTTTATTGTCTGTTTATTTAGAATCATCCAAGTGATCAATAAAAACAAATAGTAAAAAAAAAAACAGCAATCGGTTTTGAAATCTAAAAACAGAAGATATCTACACAGAATAAAAATACGCAAAAAATTATTCAACAAAGATTTTCGTTGATACCAGTACTAGAGGATTGAATTACTCTTGTTATAAGTATTGGAAGATTTAGAAGGCAATAAATAAATAAATAAAACTTGAAAAGTTCAAAAAACAAATAAAATCAGAAAAAAAACAAAAAACAGAGCAAGAAAATGCTAAACATTTCGGCAAATTCTAAAAGTCAAGAGCAAACGTCACCTGCATTCTTTTTGGTGTTTTTATCGATTGAAGCATTAATCATCATGTTTGGAAATTTTTTACTGTGCTGTTTATTTATTCGGGAAAGGAAACTAAGAACCCAACAAAACTATTTTGTAATATCGCTTAGTATATGTGATTTGTTCATTGGTACCGTTGTTCCTCCTTGCGAATATTGTGCGTATACTCGATTATTTGGAAAAGAATCAGAAACATGTTCTTATATTTGTGGGAGCATGAGTGGTTTTATCATGATTAGCTCCGTTATGAATTTAAGCTTGATTGCTGCAGATAAATATTTCTCCATTAAAAAACCCTTTTTCTACAAACAGTATTTAACAAAAAGCAAAACGCTTGTAATTATCTGCTGCGGTTGGATCATTACACTCGGTGTAACGCTTGTACCTTTCGCTTGGATATTAAACTTTATTTCTACACCAGAATCAGATATTAATAAAACTTACACTGTAGTTGTTTTTTCTGTTGTCATAACTATTGGTGGTATAATTTTTTATTTTTATTTCAAAATAGTGCAGATGGTAAGACAAAAACTTAGAGAATCACAGGAAAAAGCAAAAAATCCGGCCGGAATCAAAGTTTGTATAATTGTTGCAATCACATTTTTTGTGTGTTGGATTCCAACCTTTATTCTTGAACTTCTTTTGCAGAACAATGCCAAAGTAATTCCTGAAGCGTCGTATGCATCGTATAGCATTTTGCTATTAAATCCATGTTTAGATCCTTTAATGTATGCTTATTACCGAAAAGATTTTAGAAAAGTACTTCGTGATTGGCTTAAACCAAAACGCAAAATTAAAATATATGGCGAATACCCCACAATTAAAAAGTTATCCATATATTCAAAAAATCAACTTACATCCTCTTGTGAAACAGAATCAAATGTTAATGAAACATCAATTTAAGCAAAATAAAACATCAATTAGATGATGTGACAATATTTAAAGCGATTTCTTATACTTACTAATTGTTTTATCAAATGTTTTAAAATTTTAATTGTTTTATTATTAAAATGATTTTGTATTATAATTTGTTGTACAGCTCTGGTTTTATAAACGTTTTGAAAAATATTATAAAGTTTAAAACCTTATCTCTTTCAAACCAACTTAAGTTCAGAAAGGCATTTTTCTACAAGATTTATGCTGCAATTTGTAAGTTATGCTTGCAAATAGTCGTGTGTAATTATACCCCGTTCATACAGACGATAAAATAGGTTTTATTTTGAAAACATTTTTAATTGCAATTCTAAAAAGCTGCATAAAACTACAATAAAACAATGTTTTGTCAATGTAAAGTTTGTGTTAATAAAAAATAGCTTTGCCACGTTTTTTTTTACTGTTAATAACATTCAAAGCTAGGGGTGCACCGGATTTATATAATGACGTTTTCAAATATTTCCATGATATCAAAGACAAAAAAATCATATTGTTTTTGTACAATATGATATTGTTGATTTTTATTCTTCCATTTCTAAACAGCTTCTTTGCGATTCCTTAGTTAACGCTAAAAATTTTACTCAAATTTTAGATAAGACAATTGACATCATTTACCATTCTAGAAAATCCTTACTTTTTACAAAAAATAATATGTGGGTTAAAAATTAGAAGATTACGAATTTGACGTTATAATGGGAAGCTTTGATGGAGCTGAGTTATGTGAGCTGGTGAGCCTTTTTATTTTATTTACCATTAGCAAAAAATGCGGATTATATCCCAACTGTTTATATAGAAATGACAGATTTTGCTGTTTCCATAATATTAGAGGACCGCAATCAGAAATATTAAAGAAAAATCTCATCATTCTTTTTAAAGAAAATTCAAGCATAAAAATAAAAACTAATTTAAAAAATGTTAACTTCCTTGACGTTTCGCTCAACCTGTCTAACAACTCTTTTCAGCCGTATAGAAAACTAGATGACGTCATATACCAATGTTAATTTGAACTATCCTCCGAATATTTTTCCCACAATGATATCTAACCGTAGAAGAAATATTTCTTAAAGTAAAGAAGTATTTAATTGAGTCGCTATATAATAGTGTCCTTATAATAGTATAATATTTTATAATATAATATATAATAGCATAATATTTTATAATAGTACCTTTAAGTGGATTTAAAGAATGTATTACTGCTATTCCCAACAACTCTATAAAAGTTACATAATCACAAGCACAAAACATTATTTGGTTTAAACCTCCATTTCCAACTACTACAATATATATATGTATATATATATATATATATATATATATATATATATATATATATATATATATATATATATATATATATATATATATATATATATATGTATATATATATATATATATATATATATATATATATATATATATATATGTATATATATATATATATATATATATATATATATATATATATATATATATATATATATTATATAGAATTATATATTACATATATATGCATATATGTTATATATATGAGCACATATATTATATACATTATATATAATATATACATATATTATATATGATATATATATTATATATATAGTATATGTTTATATGTACTATATAAATGCTTATATATATTATATTTTATATATATATATATATATATATATATATATATATATATATATATATATATATATATATATATATATATATATATATATATATGTATATATATATATATGTATGTATGTATTTATGTATTCTAGGAATTGTGTTAATATTTCCAGTAAGAGTGCTCAATATAGCGTGTTATATAATTGGTAGAGCAAATAAAATATTTAAAACTAAACAATTATTAAGATATATTTCAATTACATAACTAGAAGTTTCACGCAATAGCGATCATCAGATCAACAACAACAAAAAGGTAGCGACAAAAATTGTATATAAAAAACGTCCACTTTCATGACATTAAAGTTTTTTATTAGAAATTTATTTTCATGGCGGCACTTTGACGCAAGTTTGGTTCGCTTATTAGGCAAATTTTACGGTGACGTGATAATGTTATATTTTTCTCTCAAGCAAAAATTGTAAAATTTACCACCGGGTTTAAACGGCTGTATATATATATATATATATATATATATATATATATATATATATATATATATATATATATATATATATATATATATATATATATATATATATATATATATTATATAGTATCTATTTTACATTCCCACACAAATTTCGAAAGTTCAGTGGAGATAAAAAGAACAAAAACATAGACCCTGGTGCATTTAAAATGCTAAACAATACTCACTTTTGTAATATATTAGCCCACCCACTGGTATGGAGGTTGCATGTATGCAGGAACAAGAAAATTTTTGAAAGCTCAATTGAAAAGTATAAACTTCGTTGAATTTTATTCTTATCTCAAATTAATTGCTTGCAAAATGCATGCATGAAAAACTTAGAACCAAAATGAGAGTCTTAATATAATGATATGGGAACCGAAAACTAAACTTTGTTTTATTTTAAATTTGAAATTTGCAACATTTAATGCTATTGCAAACTTTAATAATGATAGAAAAACATCTGTTATGACTTCTGAAGAAATTGGTATGATTCCTGAAAAATTTATGATAGATGGCTGCAATAAGGAAAATTAAATAGGTTCATATCAATCGTCATACAAAAATCAATCTGATGTAAATTATCGTATAAAAACAATCAGGAACAATGAAAAGAACAAAAATGATAAAGAAAAGCAAAAACAAAAAACTCTTTATGCTACAGGTAGTTGGTAAATGTTTCGCTCTTATCTTTACAAAGATTGTTTATTTTTTAATTATTTTTGAGGCATTGTAAAATGAGATACTATAGGTGGTTGATTATTACATTATAGGTGGCTGCCATTATAGGTGGTTGTTTTATTAACATAACATTTTACAATTCAATTTTTATTTAATAAGATCTTTCATATAGTCTAATTTAATATTGACAATAAGATTTCATTTCCAAGATAATTTTGGAAGGGGTATGCCACTTTAAAATCTCCCAAGAAAATATTGAAGGGGGTATGCTACCTTAATATTTATTTAAATGTACTTTATCTTAAATTCACTAAATTATTTGTATAATAATCTTTTTTTTGTTGCTTTTTTAGAGTTTAAAGTTTCTAAATCTTTTTATTTATGAAAATTTGATTTCCGTTGCAAGAAAGTCTTTAGAAGAAATTGTTGCCAAAATGGTCGTTCTTGATGGCATAACAGTTAGTTACCAAGTCTAGCTTTATTCGTAAAAGTTTAGTAAAATCAAGTTAAAATCTTCCTAAAGCCGAAAGAGATGTTATAAATTTAGTTCATAACTTTTATAAAAAAAAAGGCCAACGAAAAAAAAAAAACATTGCACTTGATAAATGGGGCACGAAAACTCGGAAATATCTAAATATCAATTTGCATGGAGTGTGCATAACCAGGGTTTATTGAGAATTTTTAACTCGTGTTCAGCTGTATAATTAGTTAGTACATTTTAGCTGTTTGTGATGTACTATATAAAAGATAAAAATTACCGTCGTACAAGATGAAGATGACCATGGTCAAGATGGTATTGATGATGATCAAGGTGAAAGTTATTATTCTGACCATAGTAATGATGACGTCGAAGAATACGGAAAAGTTGAATTAACGAGTTTAAACAATATAGAAGAAAATATAAAAAGTGCTCGTATGATTGTTAAATTTTTTAAAAGTTCTTCTGTGCGAAATAATATTTTGCAAGAAAAGATCAAAATAGTTTTAGAAAAAGAACTTCAGATGTTAAATGTAGGAACTTGTTGAAACTCATTACTTAAAATGATATCTAGATTTTTAAATTATTAAAGAAACTCTACAAAATATTGGAAGTGTACATTTAATAGAAACTATTAAAATTGATTTATTGCATGAATTGGACAATATGCTAAAGCCTGTTAAATTAACTGTTGAAACTCTTATCAGAGACGATGTTAATCTTGCAACAGCCCGATTAGCAATTGGTTTTATGTTAAGAAAATAAAAGAACCCAATGGTAATTTAAGTAGAGAGCTATTAATAACGATGAACACTTGAATAAATAGCTGTAAAAAGCAGGATTTAGAGTAGCTATTAGATTCTATTGTTAATGGTATCATGCCTTTAAAAAAATACTAGCATTTACAACAGATTTACTGAAGAGATAACTAAATGGGAAATAAAGAACAGCAAAACAACTATTGTGAACTAGGACATTCAACTGAAAATAACGAAAATATTACAGGAAACGTACTAGCATTAACACCGGAAGAAGATCATAAAATATTAGAAATTAAGAAATCTCCAATTTTTGCTCATTTTTTGCTTCACTTAAATTTAAATTTCTTCACTTAAATTTTAATCTTCAATTAAACATAAATTAAACATAAATTTGCTGATCTTAAAAAATAATTTTTACTGTTTTCAAAAACTAAAAAAGCACTGTTTATTTAAAAAAATTGTATCAAGCTTAAACAACGATAAAACCATTATCAACAAATTCCAAACGAACATTTTCTTTAGCATCTAACTTCTGTACAAGAATTCTTTCTAGATTATTAATAATTTATTGAGTACACTAGTGTTTTTTTTTTTAAGTTTTAATTTTTAAGTAAAAGATAATTGCTATGGAATGTATTAACACTTAAAAGTATTTTAATTTTGTTGAGTTTATTTTTGCTAGTAAATTTACACGTATTTTATTATAAGTTATAAATTATGTTTGTAAATACTAACGGTATATTTCCAAAAAGTAATGTCAAGCTTATTTGGTAGTTTAACACCACTAAAAAAGTATAGTATATCATTAAAAAAGTATAGTAAAAATGATATAGTATATTTACGAAAGACATTGAAGCCGGCTAAAAATCGTTTAATTTACCATTACATTTCAGTCGCGGATCCAGCATTTTTTTGATATTTGAGGTATTTTATATATTTATACTTATATCAAATAAGGATGCTCAGCGAAAAATTACGATGGTTGGAGCCTGGGGAAAAAAGTGCCCTAAACGTGAGAGCAACAAGTTGATAAAGTATTTTTTTTACTATTCTCAACCAAGTTTATAT